AAAAATAAAAGGAATAAAGATAGGAAATGCAGTTAAATTTTCACTATTTGCAGACAACGTGATTCTCTACATAAAAGACCCCAAGAACTCCACCAAAAGTATTCTCGACATGATAACCAAATTCAGCAAAGTAGCTGGATATGAGGTTAACACACAAAAATCAATAGCTTTGCTCTACATGAAGAACAGACTCACTGAGAGAGAAATGGGCAAACAATTCCTTTTGCAATAGCATCTAAAAAATTGAAATACCTAGGAATCAACCTAAAGAAAGAAATCAAAGATGTCTACTCTGAAAATTATAGTACTCTAAAAGAAGAGATTGGAGATTATATTATAAAATAGAAAGACATCCCTTGCTCCTGGGTAGGAAGAACTAACATAGTGAAAATGGCCATACTTCCAAAACTTCTAAATAGATTCAATGCAATTCCAATTGAAATCCCAGAAGCATACTTCACATACCCTGAGAAAACAATCCAAAAATTCATTTGGAACAAGAAGAGACCTAGAATAGCAAAAGCAATTGTAGGCAACAAAGACATGGCAGGAGGTATCCAATTCCCAACTTGAAACTAGACTACAAAGCTATGGTGATAAAGATAGTATGGTACTTCCAAAGAAACAGACTTGAGGATCAGTGGAACAGATTAGAAGATGCAGAAAGAACTCCAGATGCACTCAGACACCTCATCTTTGATAAGAAGTCAAACCCCTCATTGGAGGAAAGATAGGCTTCAATAAATGGTGCTGGAAAAACTGCACTTCAACTTGCCAAAGATTAAAACAGGACCTATATCTGTCACCAAGCACTAAACTAAAATCAAAATGAATCACAGATCTAAATATTAAAACAGAAACACTAAACTGGCTGGAAGAGAGGTTAGGTAGAACTCTTGGAGACATTGATATAGGAAAAATTTTCATGAACAAAACCTCAGTTGCATGTGAAATAACACAAAGAATCAAACTGAGATCTCATCTTTTTTTTCCAGGTTAAATTGAGTTTATTGGTACATTTTAGGGATACAGTACAGTTACATTCGTTGTTGGGATCTTGTACCTCTACATGACA